GTTACATAATTGAAGTACAGTGTCCAGAATAAGGGAGGTAATTGTCTTGTTCTACTCCAAGCTGGTAAGAGCCTTACTCTATTAAACAGACAAATTCTAGAAGAGAACTAAAATATCACTTATTCCTGCTGAGAACACAGTAGGGACTCTAGCAATAAAAAAAAATAGCTATAATTTCTCAGAAAAAGAGGTATTGGTTGCTACTCTCATGCTCTATTTCATGGTGCCATCTCTCTGCTTCTACTGAGGCAATAGAGTGTTTGAAAGCATGGGCTGTTGAGTTTGCCTGCAATGTAACCTCCATTCCTCAATTTCCTTTGCTGTAAAGTGGAAACAATAGAACCTTCCTTGTAGAGTTGTTGAAAGAGTTAAGCAAGTTAGTCGATGTAAAATTACCTAGTTCCTGGCACCAGTAAGTGCCTCCTGTTACCTTGTACTAGTATTACTAGTCCTGTTGCTCCTCTGCTCTTCTAGCTCTTGTCTACTACTTCTCACATCCTTGTGTTTATTAGTCTGTTTTCTGTTGCTTATAACAGAATACCTGAAGCTGGGCAATTTATAAAGAAAAGAATTTTTTTGGCTGGGCGCGGTGGTTCACGCCTGTAATCCTAACACTTTGGGAGGCCGAGGTGGGTGGATCACCTGAGGTTAGGAGTTCAAGACCCGCCTGGCCATCATGGTGAAACCCCATCTTAAAAAAAAAAAAGGAAAATATTTTAACAGCTATGGAGGCTGAGAAGTCCAGGTGGAGGCGCTGCATCTGGTCAGAGCCTTCCTGCTGGTGAGGGCTTTCAAGAATCCCACTGTGCTCAAGCCTGTAATCCCAGCACTTTGGGAGGCCGAGGCGGGTGGATCACGAGGTCAAGAGATCGAGACCATCCTGGTCAACATGGTGAAACCCCGTCTCTACTAAAAATACAAAAAATTAGCTGGGCATGGTGGTGCGTGCCTATAATCCCAGCTACTCAGGAGGCTGAGGCAGGAGAATTGCCTGAACCCAGGAGGCGGAGGTTGCGGTGAGCCGAGATCGCGCCATTGCACTCCAGCCTGGGTAACAAGAGCGAAACTCCGTCTCAAAAAAAAAAAAAAAAAAAAGAATCCCACTGTGCTGCAAGCTATCACGGCAAAGGGGCTGAGCATGCAGAGGACTCAGGTCTCTATTCCTGTTTTAAAGCTACCAGTTGCGTTCCTATGATAGATAACTCATTAATCCATGAGTAGTTGAGTTAATCTATTCATGAGCACAGAACCCTCCCTCATGATTTTTTTTTTTGAGATGGTTCTGCTCCATCACCCAGGTGGGAGTGCAGTGGCACAATCACAGCTCACTGCAATCTCTTCCAGGCTCAAGCAATCCTCCCACCTCAGCCCCTACCCTGAGTAGCTGGGACTACAGGCACACCCCCCACTACACCCAGCTAAGTTTTGCATTTTTTGTAGAGATGGAGTTTCACCATGTTGCCCAGGCTGGTCTTGAAGTCCTGGCCTCAAGTGATCCATCTGCCTCAGCCTCCCAAAGTGCTGGGATTACAGATGTGAGCCACCATGCTGGCCCTCAGTCACCTTTTAAAAGGCCCCACTTCTCAATTCTGCCAGATTGGGGATGAAATTTCAGCTTCAGTTTGGGAGGGGATAAGTATACAAATCATAGCATTTTGGCTTTATCAAAGATGTCCCTTTGTCATCAGCATCGAAACTCTTCCTTTGAGTCATTTCCATTGGCATATAAATTTGTTGTAAATGTCTCTGGTCTCTTAAAAAAAATTGTTCTTTGGCCGGGCATGGTGGCTCAAGGCCTGTGATCCCAGCACTTTGGGAGGCCGAGGCGGGTGGATCACAAGGTCAAGAGATCGAGACAATTCTGGTCAACATGGTGAAACCCCGTCTCTACTAAAAATACAAAACATTAGCTGGGCATGGTGGCGCGTGCCTGTAATCCCAGCTACTCAGGAGGTTGAGGCAGGAGAATTGCCTGAACCCAGGAGGCGAGGTTGCAGTGAGCCGAGATCGCGCCATTGCACTCCAGCCTGGGTAACAAGAGCGAAACTCTGTCTAAAAAAAAAAAAAAAGTGTTCTTTGATCACACATCCTCCTCCTCCACACTATTTCTACTTCCTCTCCTTCCGTTCTCTCTTAAACCCATTCAAATCAGGCTCTCATCACGCCACTCTACTGAAATGGCGCTTGTCAATATCACCAACAAATGGGTTCCACATGGCCAAGCCCAGTGGTCAGTTCCCAGGCCTCATCTTGCTTGGCTTGTCAGCAGTATTTGACTCACCCGATCATTCCGTCCTTCAAACACTTGCTTCGCTTGGCTTTCGGGACACCACACTCAGCTTTTCAGCTCTGCTGTGTCCCTAAACGTTTTCTTTTTCTTTTCTTTTTTTTTTTTTTTTCATGTCAGACGGGAAATGTACTGATGTCATAAAAGATTCAAGGGTGGCATATCTCACACATGCATGTGAACACCCAATCATCACATTTAAGAACTACAAAAGGATCTGACCGCTGCTTTTCACTCTCATCTTCACCTCCTAACATTGTTGAGCCCCAGAGGTCAATCATCAAATCTCTTCTCTCAAAACCCAATGAGTTTGATCCCAGCCAATCTCATTGCTTTAAATACCATCTTTTAAAGACCCAGATGTGCATCTCCAGCCATAACTTCTGCCTTAACTCTTGTTTGTTCTTTTTTTTTTTTTTTTTTTTTTTTTTTTTTTAAGACGGAGTCTTGCTCCATCGCCAGGCACCAGGCTGGAGTGCAGTGGCGCAATCTCGGCTTACTGCAACCTCCAACTCCTGGGTTCAAGCAATTCTCCTGTCTCAGCGTCCTGAGTAGCTGGTACTACAGGCACGCGCCACCACACCCAGCTAATTTTTGTATTTTTAGTAGAGACGAGGTTTCCTATGTTGGCCAGGATGGTCTCGATCTCTTGACCTCATGATCCACCCGCCTTGGCCTCCCAAAGTGCTGGGATTACAGGCATGAGCCACCGTGCCTGGCCAAACTCTAGGTTCTTCCTATCCAACTGCCTACTCATCAGCCTCACCTGGCTGTCCTAATAGACATCTTTTTTTTTTTTCTTTTTTTTTGAGACAGAGTCTCACTCATCACCTAGGCTGGAGTGCAGTGGCACAATCGCAGCTCACTGCAACCTCCACCTCCTGGGTTCATGCGATTCTCCTGCCTCAGCCTCTCAGGTAGCTGGGATTACAGGTCCACACCACCACGCCCAGCTAATTTTTGTATTTTTAGTAGAGAGGGGGTTTCGCTGTGTTGGCCAGGCTGGTCTCGAACTCCTGACCCCAGTTGATCCGCCTGCATTGGCCTCCCAAAGTGCTGGGATCAGAGGTGTGAGCCATTGTGCCCAGACTGTTTTTCTTAATTTCTATACCACTATCTTTCCTGGATCTCTTTTAAATTCCCTGAGAGGACCGAATAGGTTGTTCCATTGCCATTTAGTAGGAAGCAGCCCTGCGGGATGAGCTGTCAGGCCACGTCACCTAGGGGGTTCCAGCCGCGGTTTATGATTGAATCCTCCCACTAGATTCCACTATCATTAGCTTCACTGATAGCAATGAGTGTGGGTCTGTTTTGTAGAAATGAATTTTATTTAATTTGGATCTTTTAGATATTTACTCAAAATTGCAGTGAAAATGAAAGCAACAGAAAATATTTTCAAACTGAAACACTCAGCCATCAGCTATTGTGGATACTGTCGAGAGGAAAAACAACCAATGCCAGTCAGCATCTGGTAAAGGAGGTTCTCTAGCTCGGCCCAATGCCTTTGTTTTCTTGGGAAGAGGCTGTCTCCCATTTTTCAGGCAACCTTCTCATCTTTTCTCATCTCTTCTCTCAATAGACCACAAGAGGGCAGTGTTTTACCATATTCTCCTTGAATGATATAACACCAACAGTGGGACCAGATGACTTCCAGAAGTAGAAATTGACTATTATGCCAAGATTGTTCACCAAAGTTGGTAAAACTCTAGGTTTACAATTGTGCCCCAAAAGTCATGGGACTGGACCCCATCGGTTTAGCATAAGTCATCAGTTTAGCAATGATACAGAAAATAACCTGAAAGTTTGAATAGATCAGAAATGAAGTACTTTTTGTGGAAGGCTGTTTTTAAGTATTAAAGGTACTATTTCCTTTCTTGAATTCACATTGCAGATGTGCATTGTGGATTTATGGGTTTATCTCTGCAAACCTTAAAGTAGAAGATTGCAAGGGCCAGGTGCAGTGGCTCATGCCTATAATCCCAGCACTTTGGGAGGCTGAGGCAGGCAGATCACCTGAGATCAGGAGTTCAAGACCAGCCTGGCCAATATGGCAAAACCCCGTCTCAACTAAAAATACAAAAAGTTAGCTGGGCATAGTGGTGGGCACCTGTAATCCCAGCTACTCAGGAG